CATACATCGTTCGTATTTTTTTATAGAAAAAATAGATGCATTAATTTCATATCGATTGTTTAACTGGTGCGAAAACTTTAGGGTAAATCCAGGCTGTACACTCGCTATAACCTGTTGATATGTACATCGTGGATTGACAATAAGGTGTTACGCCTAAAATTAGGATTGCAACACAGACAATATATAAGTGCTATTTTTTAGTCACTTTGAACAATTCAGCCATCTGGTGCGTGCCTCATCATGATCTGCTGAGCAAACAATGTTATACAAACTGCCCACCAGTGTTGTCCAATACCAAATCATTGGTCAGTACACAATTTGTATAGTATTTTTCCAACTACAATGATTTCTCTGTCTAAATTGTTGTATCAGAAAAGAAGAAATCAAATCCCAGGGCATTCACTTAGTCGTCAATAATATCCAAGAGCCTTTCAAGACATTAGTGGATTTTCTAAAGAACGTAAGTTTTCATACATCAGATATCACATAGCTGGAACTGTGTGTTATTTATTAGCAATTTAATTTGGTAGATTACTGTGAACTTGTAACTAAGGAGTGTGACATGGATATGTGGTTTAATGTGTTGATTGGTCCAACTGAAGAAAAAAACCTTATCGAGGCGATAACAGTGACTAGAGTTTTCGTCACAGTGTTGGTGTGCCTATGTCAATGTTACGCACTTTATTGAATGAATCGAGTGTGCGTTTGGTTTCAAGCACCACAGTTTTTGGACAGCGCAGTGGTGGATTCGATGCGACGTATGCAACGCCATGTGAAATACATTGTTTATTTGCTTGAAATTGGAAAGCACGCTACACGCGACTAAAATGACAAAATACTTCTGACAGAGTATACCTTATTTGTAAAATGACCACTCTTCAATATTACATTGTCACATTGTTTATTTTAGCTCCGATGCCGACTTACTTTATGCATAAAGGTACCTCAAGTCGACTGATCGCAGATTTGTTCATTTCGTGATATCTTCAATTCTCTAATAGTAGTAGTATTTTCATTTATTTAAATTTACATGCAGGAATACTTTCACCACCTTCGAACAAATATCGGATCATCAGCATTACCAAATGGCAAGGCATTTTACGAGGAATCGCTGAAGTTCCATATTACCTGTGACCTATCAGCAGAAGTGGTCCATAACATAGGGTTCAGAGAGGTGAAACGAATTAAAGAAAATATGCATCGGGTAAGCTGCATTAATTGTTATGGTCATTATCTATTCACATTCTTGAATATTGATTTATATTGTAAAAAACTGGACCTATTGCTATTTCCTGACTGTTTTCTTTTAATGCTCAGGTAATGAAGCAGGTTGGTTTCCAAGGCGACATCAAATCATTTTTTGAGTGTTTAAGAAATGACAAACGCTTTTACTTCAAAACGAAGGTAGGTTGATTCTGTCACAATATTGTCATGTCCTGCCAAGGAGTGATCAACACTTCTAGGAAATGTCATCCTATGTCAGTTTTAGTAAGACGGGTGACACATCAGATATCCAAAAAATTTTTGAACAACACCGAAAACACGAAAGGAGCAATAATGGTAGAAAAGATACGCCATACGTTTGGAAATGTGATACCTAATATACATCAGAAAATCTGACAACAAATACACGAATTATTTGCTCCCAAATTGAGCTGGGCAGATGAAAAACACTGAAGTAAATCTGTCAACAAGTCAGAGAGTTGAAATTAGGTGATTGAGGCACTGTCAAGTCATATTTTGCTTTTGAGAGACATTTGCAGTGATGAGGCTTTTTTGAAAGCAATGCAAGTAAAGTGTAAAGTGCTGTAGTGTGATATACGAATAAGGTGGAATTTAAACATAGATAGGTTTTCAACATTGCTATTCCCATACGCCGACGGTTCACTCATTTAGCCATGTAATCAAACTTTAAATAACTTGAAGGTAACTGATTTAATCAAATCACAATGACGACGTGCGCCAAATGTGGTTGTTTACTTCTTCGTCTACTAATATTCAGCCATCGTTCTTCACCTTCTCTTTGCACACATATCGCAATTGTGTTTGTTTTGTATTTGTATCCATTGCCATGTGCCGTGACTGGGTGGATGCCAATACGCGGATCACGTACAGGTTAGGGCGGGGGTATGTGTACATCAGGTTCGCCATTCAGATGATTAAGCGCTTATAATGGGTCGTCCGCACTTGAAGTATGATATTGTAGGAAATGAACGTGGAAAACAAACAGCGAATAACGTGAAAACAATAAACGTATTGTTGTGCTTTTATTTAATAGAATGAGTTGTTGGAAGGTTATGGGAAGATAGTAAAACAAGTCAAGCAAGTTCTACCGAAGTATTTCAAAAGTATTCCCAATGTAGAGATGAGGTATTTTAATTGCCAGTAGTATTGAATATCTGTTTAATTTTACACATTTTTTATTACCAGACATGCTCAATAGTCTACGATATGATGTGAAATAAATGTTTTTTTTTTTATTTGTAATGCTCTCAGAATAGGAAGTATCTACGAATGCTGAAACTCAAAATGGCGCATATTATTATGGGCCCTCTGCAGATGGAAGTAAACCAGGAGTGTTTAACGTCAATTGTCATAACTTTCAAGCAAGGTATGTTGCAAGTACTCAGGTATATGTAAATTGCACACAATACATTACTGTTTATGAAAGAGATGTGGGTGGTTGATTGTCTCTGCATATATTAAGTTTCAACGTTGTAACTAATGTTCTTGACATTGGCAAAACTGATGAGTATATAATCGGTAACTTTCACCTGATCTTCAGGAACTCCTGAAGCATAAATGTCCGATTGAATGAATCCTATTGATATTTACTTTATATAACTCGCAGACCCAAGTTTGAAATGATGTCACTATGTTTACATGAAGCAGAGCCTGGTCATCATTTACAAAGTTCATACAGTGTTCTCATGGACTATCTTCCTGGATTCAGACGTTTCAAAGACGATCGTTTTTACGGAATAGTGCCTTCAAGATTTCCTATGCACACTGGATATATAGAGGTGAATGAAATCTTACTTGCTTTTTTATGCGAAATGAGTCATACCCCTTAAAGACTTCTTAGACCTTCGAGGTAAACGGCTGCTGATGTTCTTAAAAGCTTTGAGAGCGAAAGAACCACGGGATACATAGTACAATGAACAGTATCGACATAAGATAATGGAGGGGTAAATACAAATTGTAGTTTCTCTCGTTCGAAGTGAGATCTTGACAGCCAATTGCAGTGTATGTATAAAAATGTATGTTATTCTGTTTACTGTAACTTCGATGAATTCGCTATCCAGAGTTGCATTCCGACTTTGGAAATATGAGAAACATCATTCCCATAACAAGCTGATGCTGTCATATACTAAACAATATCCTGCCCTTATGTTCCCGTCCATTTCATTTTGATCTCATTCTTGCAATGTAATTATAATATCTTACCTGAGTTACAAAACCTTATAACTAAGCGATTAGTTGCGTTCACGCACAGCTTCGGGCTAAGAGGTGAAAAGCATTAGTCTGCGCTAAGAAAACGTGCGCGAACGCTTAGCACGGGCAATAAAACCCGGTAAGTACGGTAATATGTTTAAGACTAGTCTAGACCCATAGCACGTGCTGATGACGTCATTGTCTATCAGATGCCAAAATTAAATGTCCGTTTTAGAAGATTTATTACTATATTCACAGCTTTTTCACGATACATTATTCTCGAGGAAATGGACTGACAATAAAACCCTGTACTACTTGCCTTGACTT